AAGATGGGAGTAAATAAAGATCAAATAATTGAATAAACCAACAATGTAAAAACACGAGGATTTGAAAAGTAATCTATCATCCTGGAGAGTAATCTATCATCCTGGAGAGTAATCTATCATCCTGGAGAGTAATCTATCATCCTGGAGACTAATCTATCATCCTGGAGAGTAATCTATCATCCTGGAGAGTAATCTATCATCCTGGAGAGTAATCTATCATCCTGGAGAGTAATCTATCATCCTGGTGAGTAATCTATCATCCTGGAGAGTAATCTATCATCCTGGAGAGTAATTATCATCCTGGAGAGTAATCTATCATCCTGGAGACTAATCTATCATCCTGGAGAGTAATCTATCATCCTGGAGAGTAATCTATCATCCTGGAGAGTAATCTATCATCCTGGAGAGTAATCTATCATCCTGGAGAGTAATTATCATCCTGGAGAGTAATCTATCATCCTGGAGAGTAATCTATCATCCTGGAGAGTAATCTATCATCCTGGAGAGTAATCTATCATCCTGGAGAGTAATCTATCATCTTGGTGAGTAATCTATCATCCTGGAGAGTAATCTATCATCCTGGAGAGTAATCTATCATCCTGGTGAGTAATCTATCATCCTGGAGAGTAATCTATCATCCTGGAGAGTAATCTATCATCCTGGAGAGTAATCTATCATCCTGGAGACTAATCTATCATCCTGGTGAGTAATCTATCATCCTGGAGAGTAATCTATCATCCTGGAGAGTAATCTATCATCCTGGAGAGTAATCTATCATCCTGGAGAGTAATCTATCATCCTGGAGAGTAATCTATCATCCTGGTGAGTAATCTATCATCCTGGAGAGTAATCTATCATCCTGGTGAGTAATCTATCATCCTGGAGAGTAATCTATCATCCTGGTGAGTAATCTATCATCCTGGAAAGTAATCTATCATCCTGGTGAGTAATCTATCATCCTGGAGAGTAATCTATCATCCTGGAGAGTAATCTATCATCCTGGAGAGTAATCTATCATCCCGGAGGATAATCTATGATCCTGGACCCCTCAAGGAAGGTTCCTTGATGTTGGTGTGGGCTCTTGATTTAGGGAATTGGATCTGTGCTCCAGTTCCCCGAATTAAGCCTGAATGCCTTCCACATCCCCCCCCCCAGGCGCTGTATAATCCTCCGGGTTTAGCGCTTCCCCCTTGATTATAATAATAATCCTGGAGAATAATCTATCCTGGGGAATATATAAAATAATAATTCTGATCATTCTGGGGACTAATCATCCTTTAAATTAATCTAGTATTCTGGAAGAATAATCAACCATTCTGGGAGAGAATCAATCATGGGAGAGAATCTATCATCCTGGGAGAGAATCTATCAACCTGGGAGAGAATCTATCATCCTGGGAGAGAATCAATCATCCTGAGAGAGAATCAATCATCCTGGGAGAGAATCAATCCTGGGAGAGAATCAATCATCCTGGGAGAGAATCAATCATCCTGAGAGAGAATCAATCATCCTGAGAGAGAATCAATCATCCTGGGAGAGAATCAATCATCCTGGGAGAGAATCAATCATCCTGAGAGAGAATCAATCATCCTGAGAGAGAATCAATCATCCTGAGAGAGAATCAATCATCCTGAGAGAGAATCAATCATCCTGGGAGAGAATCAATCATCCTGAGAGAGAATCAATCATCCTGAGAGAGAATCAATCATCCTGGGAGAGAATCAATCATCCTGAGAGAGAATCAATCATCCTGAGAGAGAATCAATCCTGGGAGAGAATCAATCATCCTGGGAGAGAATCAATCATCCTGAGAGAGAATCAATCATCCTGAGAGAGAATCAATCATCCTGAGAGAGAATCAATCATCCTGAGAGAGAATCAATCATCCTGGGAGAGAATCAATTATTCAATAAATAATTTATCATCCTGGAGGATGAATTATTAGATTGATACTGCGAGGTCTTTATTATAGCGTACCTGCACCTGGTACCATCATGCGTAGTTAGGAATGATAGTGGAGGAGGAGGGAGAGGGGAGAGAGAGGGGGAGAGGGGGAGAGAGAGGGGGAGAGAGAGGGGAGAGAGAGGGGGAGAGAGAGGGGGAGAGAGGAGGGGAAGAGAGGAGGGGGAGAGAGGAGGGGGAGAGAGGAGGGGGAGAGAGGAGGGGGAGAGGGAAGACAGAGAGAGAAGAGAGGGGGGAGAGGGAAGAGAGAGAGAGAAGAGAGGGGAGAGAGAGAGAGAGAAGAGAGGGGAGAGAGAGAGAGAGAAGAGAGGGGAGAGAGAGAGAGAGAAGAGAGGGGGGAGAGAGAGAGAGAATAATTACCTACGGTTAATTACCTCTTAGTAGTTATAATAGAGCAATACTCGAGGTATCCCGTCATTATTATAATTATCATTATAATCATCATTTGATCTCACTACCAGAAGGCGACCCACCACAACAATCGACCTGCACCCAGGTACCTAGTTACTGCTAGGACAGAGGCCAGGTACAGGCAGGTAAGGTCATTCTCCTCTCTTACGCCTAGTACTGCCCGGGAATCGAGCCCACGAGCCTTTCGATTAGGCTCTGTGGTAGCCTGGTAGATGTCCCCGTGTGCAGATACATAGAGAAAGAAAGATCTTTTGTTCTTTGAGTGTTTTCAGTCAACTAGTACTCTCTCTCTCTCTCTCTCTCTCTCTCTCTCTCTCTCACTTTCTCTCTCTCACAATATATTAACTCTATAAACCATATTAATTAAAATTCTCTACATTTCCTAATACCGAACAAACTCCGTAAATACATAGTCTTTAAAAAAAATATTGAACAATAAATGCTGACAATGTCGTAACGTTTTAGACTATACTTTACATATATTGAGAGGAACTGTAACACCTTGTCGGTTGTCGTTGAAATATCAACATTGCAAGTCTTTAGACCTTAAATACATGGATTACAAGTCGGAGTATAAGAGTTAAGTACAAGGTAAATCTACACACAGCGCCCTGAAGACGGCATAACCATACCACTGCAACATCCTGGCTCAGATTGCAATACCAAGTCATGCTGGTGGTGTGAAATACCAGGAGGGTGGCGTGTAATGAGGCCTATGTGCAAACACGGGTCTAGAGAGATTTCCGTGGAGACTACACCCTTAGGTGTTGCACAGGTGACTTCGTCAGTAGCAGGGTAATCCATTGTAATCCTGCTTTTGCAACACGGATGCGGTAGTTGCTTTAATGCAGGTGTTGGCAGTTGCAATGTTGGTGGCAAGTACAGGCCAGTGTTGCAGAGCAGAGGACAGAACACTGTATTGCATTTGAGCACGAGATGCTTGTGTTGACACGGGGACCACAGTCTTACAAGAGCCGGGTGGCGGAGACTCCACAACTGGATGATAACTTCGGAAAGCATCCACCATGTACTCTTGCCCATCGTTCATGAGGACACGGATGTCATCCACAACTCCTCTTCACACCAGTGTCAACCGACATCCACTCAACTTCAACTCAAAACAGAGGATCATCTAGGTATGTGATAATGTCCACCTTCTCGACAATCTCCAGCGGACATCTCAACGGAGGCTTCAAATTCTATTTAACCCTTCCCCAGAAAATACAGTCAGTTACTCGTCCTTTTTCTAAAACCCGACTACCTCCCATTCCCCAGGTGTGCTGTATGAATCCTACGGTTTCTTCTTGGACAGGCAGATGTGCGCGTCCATCGAAAAACGCAAAAAATCGTGAAACAAACACCGTCTGCAGCATAGGAGGTTCAATGAGAATTCCGAGGTACGAGTGATAGCTGAAATTTCTTGAAAAATCTCTTTACAAGTATGAAGCGGCTCTTAAGAGCCTTACCAAGGGTAAGGACGCTGTAGTATTTTGGGCATTTATCATGATTTATATCCCATACCTAGAGTCCAGCGTCCACTTAACTCGTCCAGAGATACAGTGGATTGCTGGCAAATCCTCAGACCAATTTTCGCTCTGCACAGAGCTTGTCAAACTCTGGTATAGATTACAGCGAGAGTCAGTTTATAACTGATGGTTTGCTGTACATAGAGTACCTTTGCAGCTAAGGTGTCGGCAAGTCTTCGCCTCTCAAGCTTATCAACCAGTCTTGCCTCTCAAGCTTATCAACCAGTCTTGCCTCTCAAGCTTATCAACCAGTCTTGCTGCTCAAGCTTATCAATCAGTCTTGCTGCTCAAGCTTATCAACCAGTCTTGCCTCTCAGTCTGTGACCTCCGTGTTACAATAAGTTGCAATGTTTTCTTGAGTCGTTGTGACTATCAGCAATTGTTGACTGACTAGACTGACAGTTGTCAGGGTGATACTATAAATACTGGGCAAGCACTTAGTTCATCCACTGAACTGGTAACTATCTCTAGAGATACCCGACAATGGCTTGATATATATATATAAATATATATATATATAAATATATATATATATATATATATATATATATATATATATATATATATATATATATATATATATATATTGTCATGCCGAATAGGTAAAACTTGCCATTTTGGCTTAAATAGTAACGCTCTTCTTGCCGAATAAGGCAAGCAAAAATTCTGAACCTAACGAAAAAACATTATATGTTTGTTTATTATTAAATTATTGTAAACTTGTCTAAAATGTATTTAGTTAGATTAGGCTAAATTAATTTGCGCTTGTTATAATAAGATTAGGTAAGTTTTCTAAGATTCTTTTGGTACAAAATCATCATTTATTATATTAACATAAATGAAAAAATGTCTTTAAAAGTATAAGAGAAAATTTTAGAAAAGACTTAATTTTAAACGAGTTCTTGCTAACTGACCAGTTTTACCTATTCGGCACGACATATATATATATATATATAAATATATTATATATATATATATATATATAATATATATAAATATATTTACAAATTTTAATGACGTACAATAACAGGAACTATTTAGGAGCACGATTTTTTTTTATAGTTCAATATACTAGGCCTCTGTAAGCTCCGAAATACGACAGGGCAAGTATTTTTTTTTTTTTTTTTTTTTTTTTTTTGGATTTCGTTAAATACATTCGTTATGAAAGACAGTGAACGGTTGTCTCGAGTCTATACACGACACGTTCAAGAGTTGATCCATGCGTTCATGATTTCGAAGTCTGCGAGAACGTTGGGAGTGGTAGTGGCTGTGACGCCCACGCTGGCCCACCCACTGCCTGCTGCTGACCCACCAGACTCGTAGCCCAGGTCAGCCAGAGACTCCAGCTCCACCTTGAGGTCAGAGGTCATGGGGATGAGTTCGGTGACCCCGATGTTGTCTAGGTCGTCCAGAGTCGCGGGCTGGGTTTCCTGAGCCTCCACTTTTACCGAAGGTGCTGTTGGCTGCGGCTGCTGCTGCTGTTGTTGCTGCTGCTGTTGTTGTTGTTGCTGGTGTTGTTGTTGTTGGTGATGGTGACTGTGGTGGTGGTGGAGGTGGTGGTGGTGGTGATGCTGCTGTGACGCAGCCGCTGAGTTAAAGAACGAAGAGTGAGTACTGACAGGCGAGTACAGACAAGGATTTTGATGCTGGTAGCTTGGCTTCTGCTGTTGGTGGTGGTGGTGGGAATGGTGGTGGTAGTTTGGCTTCTGCTGTTGCTGTTGCTGCTGCTGTTGCTGCTGCTGTTGCTGCGCACGTAACTGTTCTTGATACTCTTGTTGACGCTTCAAGTAGCCCATGCTTGTAATAGCCTCAGGCTTCAGGTAACTGTGTACCAGCTTCTGTTCCTGGTAGAAATTTGGCTGGTAAGATTGTTGTCTTTGAGGAACATTGTACACACAGCTGCTTGTTCTGGTACTGTTAGGTGAAGAGACTGGAACAACGTTGTGGTAAGAGAAGGAAGTATTGGTGATTGATGCAGATCGTTGGTGAGCCTCTCCTGATGCGGTGTAGCTGTGGGTGGGCGTCGGCGTGTAGGTTACCATAGAAGTTCTGATGAAGGCGTGGTCGTCAAAGTTGAAAGCGCTCTCAGGAGAGTCAGGGAGATCAGAGGAGGCAGGACTGGTTGGAACTCGCGGAGGAGAGGCAGGAGTCAGCGGAAGTGGCCAGCTGACGCGATCTTCCAGCGTGTGAAGATCCAGCTGTGATTTGCCGATGGAACCTTCCTTGGCCTTGATACTGCTGGCAAACTCCTTGCAGATGTTGTTCATTTGATGGACCTTGGAGACCTTTCCACCGCTGCGCTCAGACACGCCCTTCAGCGGGTCCTTCGACTTCTTACGTGGGCGGTATTTGTAGTCCGGGTACTCGCGCATGTGCAGCTGCTTCAGACGCTCAGCTTCGTCACGGTAGGGCCTCCGCTGCTCCTCCGTCAGTAACTTCCAGCGGCGTCCCAATTGCTTGGAGATCTCTGCGTTGTGGGTGTCCGGAGCGAACTTCACTATCTCCCGCCTCTCCATCTGTGACCACACCATGAAGGCGTTCATGGGCCGCTTGATGTGGTTCGGCGGATGCTTCTTAGTCTGTGAACACAAGAAAAACAGCGTTACCAAACAGTAATACCAAACACACACACCACAATGCTAAACCATACACCATCTACCCCAACATTACGTAAATACCAATAATATATATATATATATATATATATATATATATATATATATATATATATATATATATATATATATATATATATTATACACACATGCAGGAGGGGTCAGGACACAGGTGTTGCCGAGAATAACACATAAGAGTTGATGTTAGCACATGTGTTGGTGGGGTCAACACATTGGTGTTGCCTCAGTACAATCAACAGGAGTCAACACTCCCAGCCACCAACTCAACATAGTTACAGTAAGAGACAACAGATGGCGCACGCCAGCAGGTGCCCATATTCCCACCACCACTAACACCTACCACCACCACTAACACCTACCACCACCACCACATTGACCACCACCAGACGACACTTTTTTTCCTGACCAGCCATTATGACCTGGTTTTTGACTTCTCTCTAACACACTCGTTTTTACTGACCACGTTTTACTACTCGTTTTTTTGGACCACTCTTCGTTTTGTGGTTAACGTCAAAAGCATATGGGATGTGTGTGTGTATGTGTGTACTCACCTAACTGGTTGCAGGGGCAGAGACTCAGCTCCTGGCCTAGCCTCTTCACTGACCGCTACTGGGTCCTCCCTCTCCTTGCTCCATGAGTTTTATCATACCTCGTCTTAAAGCTATGTATGGTTCCTGCCTCCACTACATCACTTGCCAGACTATTCCATTTCCTAACTCTGTGGCTGAAGAAATGCTTCCTAACATCTTTTCGGCTCATCTGAGTCTTCAATTTCCAACTGTGACCAATGTTGCTGTGTCCCATCTCTGGAACATCCTGTCTCTGTCCACCTTATCTATTCCACGCAGTATTTTCTATGTCGTTATCATGTCTCCCCTGACCCTCCTGTCCTCCAGTGCCGTCAGGCCGATTTCCCTTAACCTTTCTTCGTAGGACATTCCCCTTAGCTCTGGAACTAGCCTTGT